AATGAAAATCCCTCTGCTGTCTGACCTCACTCACCAGATTTCAAAAGACTATGGTGTCTACCTGGAGGACCAAGGACACACACTGAGGTGAAGTTATAGCCATCATCAAAGTTTTATAGCTTAAGCAGCTTAAAGAAATATTGCTTATTATGTAGCATTGTTATGGCTCCTTGCTGTAAGTTAAAGGTTTTATTTGCAGTTGTAAAACTAATGGTTGCGATCAGTGTGTAAATGATAGATGGACTGGGTCTTATATAGTGCTTTTCAACTTTACCTGAGCACTCAAAGTTCGTTATACAACGTGCCTTATTCACCTTATGCAGGAAGGCTTAAATAGTTCTAGAACCACAAATGGCATATATGAGGCAGAGTCCTGCTGCTGACATTTAGATAATTTACCCCCATGGAAACATTAACAGGAAGCATTGAGCAGCCACTCATGCTCTATTCTAACTCATCCATGTCTTCCTCAGGGGTCTATTCATCATTGATGGCAAAGGTATCCTGAGGCAGATCACTATGAACGATCTTCCAGTGGGAAGATCTGTGGATGAAACTTTGCGGTTGGTCCAGGCCTTCCAGTACACAGACAAACATGGAGAAGGTAAAACGATGGATTTTATTATTGGCAGCTGAAATGTCTGACTGTCCTTCGTTTATGCAGAATACCTAGAAACAAACAGCTGGCTGTCAGCTGAGTCTTTGAGCTGTTTCTTCTTTAAATTCTGACTAGTTCTGTGTTATTGTTTTCACAGTGTGTCCAGCAGGATGGAAACCAGGCAGTGACACAGTAAGTATCACTGGGCCAGTGACTAATATGGATCCTTAGGCACTAACTGCTATTGTCTTCCAGCATATTTAAAAAAAAAAAAAAAATCAGACAGGCAGCAATGTATTTGTAAAAACTGATGAGCTGTCTCAGGCTGATTGCCATAAAGAAGACTGTATACAAAGATGGATGTAGTTTCTGAGTCTGAAAAGTGAAAGCATGATGGAAGTGCTTTAAAATTGCATTGTTTCTGTTTAGCGGCCAGCAGGGGGCAGCACTAGTTGCAAAAAAGCATCTGACTGTGTAACAGGATTAGAAAATGATCCTGCTGCTCACGTGAACAATGATCTCAGTCTATAGTTTCAAGTCTTCTTAATGCATCATGATTTGATTTAGTAAATTATGGTCCCATTTAGAGTAACATAGACCTTATTATTGACAATTAGGTATACTATGAGATACATTGTCATTGTTTTTGCAAATCAGACCCACCACTTTTTTTTGTTGTTGTTGTTATTCCTTCAAAAGAGGTTTTATTATTTATTTGTTTAGTTAAAACAGTTCAGTTTGGCCTCGATGGTTTACCTTAAATTATTACCCAGCAATTACACTGCAAAGATAAGAATTCACCTTTCGCTAATTTCTTCCATTGTTAAGTGGGAATTGCACTATGACTAGTTTATTATCAGAAATCTACATTATGTGTCATATAGGTCTTCTTACATGAAATGTGCTGCACACTAATTTAATGATTTCTTTTCCACAGATCATTCCTGATCCTTCAGGCAAGCTGAAGTATTTCGATAAACTGAATTGATGTATTTGTTTTCCCAGTCTCTGAAATCCAACACTTACACTTTAAAATTTCCAATAAAATGTGTTTTCCTAAACTGCTGTGTGTCTGGTCTCTTAAACCATGACGGTGTTGAAAGTGATGTTGAAAAACTAGTTCATGCATTTATTACTTCTAGGCTGGACTATTGTAATTCGTTACTATCAGGATGTCCTTAAAAACTCCCTGAAAAGCCTTCAGCTGATCCAAAATGTTCTGCAGTGACTATATATCCAGTGACTCCCAGATTCTGGAGATACAGAAATGAAACTACTCGTTTCCTCTCTGCTGTCTGTGCTTTGAATTTGATACAATGTAAATATGTGATGAACAAACATTTTGCTGTAAAAAAAACAGCCCCAGGCTGTCCAGCATGTGCAGTGAATAATGCAGGTAATGCCTTCAGCATTTACTTAGCACGCTGAAAACGCATTTAATCATTCTAGTTTATAGCTGCAATATGCAAACTTCACTGTGACCTTTGGGCAGCATGATGGCCTGTTGGCTACACTGTTGCCTCAAAGCAAGAAAGTCCTGAGTTCAAATTCAGTCTTTTTGTAGATGCACTTGTTTTTAAAATGCTTTTAAGGACTATTGCAGCAGGGCCCTGCTTGCTTGGCTTTGCAAGAGAAACAAATGCATGCAAAAGTATCAGTGCCACTGTGATTTCAGGGGTAAAATTTGCTCTTGAATGAGTAAAACAAACTCAAATGTTTCATAAAATAAGTTAACTGAAGTTTGTTTATCAGCTGCTGATTACTAACTTGATCACCTATAGATAATGTTCATCCTCAACCACACCCCTCTTTTTTTTTAAGCTGTTAAAAGCAGGTTATATAACCTGTTATATAAACTGTTTTTCTTTTCCCACAATGCAAATAACAGCATCTGAATGCAAAGAAGCAGTAAGTTTTAGCAAGGGAAGAACAACCGGCTCAATGTTATGGGTTGATTTTGTATGTAAAATATTTTACACTCATTTTCAAAAGTGGGTTATTCTTTACTCAGCATAACAGATGTGCTTGGCTTTTTTTTTTCTTAGGTCTGGTTAATATTAACCTTTTAAACAACATTCAAATGTCGTCCAGTCAACACAAAGATAAGGGACGAGCAGAAAAGGAAAAGAAACAGGATGTAATGAGCTGTTTGCCCATATATGGGTCACCTTTCTTTCTGGGATGTTTAAAAGAGAAGCGTCTGAAGCTGCTCTGCCACTCTGCAACGCAGCCAATGCAGTTCTGTGTATGTTGGTTTCCCCATTTCATTGTCGGGGGGTAGACTCCTGAGGAGCGGATGAAGAAACAAATTTTGCTTTTGTTTACATTCAGAGGATTAGTGAGCAAAGGGAAAAGGGGTAAAAAGAGAAAATGGCCAGTTTTATATTACGGACAGCTGAACCAAAGGATGTCTCAGATATCCTGCGACTCATAAAGGTAAACCATATGTGAACTGATAATACTTCAAGCCTTTAACTGGGAGTATGCTTAACTAACAGAAATATGACTAAATGACCTTGCCTTTTAGGAGCTTGCTAAATTTGAAGAGATGGAGGAGAAGGTGATGCTGACAGAAAAAGGTGCTGTGATTTAGCTTCACGATGAAGTTTGCATTGATCTGGAGTTTGAGAAAGCTTAAAGATTCAATAATGTTATGGTTTTTTTTGTTTTTTTCAGATCTGCTTGAAGATGGCTTTGGGGATCATCCATTCTACCACTGTTTGGTTGCTGAAGTCCCAAACGAGAAGAGCTCAGAAGGTAAAAATGCGCCTCTTAAAAGTATTCTCATATTTCTCAGGAACTATTAATGTTGTTCACGGGTCTGATCCACTATTTAATCCCCTGCTCTGTGTTTTCTTCAAGGGTACACTGTGGTTGGGTTTGCTATGTACTACTTTACATATGACCCATGGATTGGAAAGCTTCTGTACCTGGAAGATTTCTTCATCATGCAGGAGTTTCGTGGTATGTTTGATGAAAAGTTTTATTGCAGTGCTAAAGGTTAATGACTAACAGAGGAGAGACTTCTTTCCTACTTTGCGGGACAATTTGTACTCATTGCCAAAGAACTTTCTTAATTGCTCCATGAACACGTAATCTTTCACCAGGTCTTGGCATCGGTTCAAAAGTCCTGAAGGTGCTGAGCGAGGTACTTTTAACATTGCACACTTCAACATTTTTCTGGTGACAGAGTCACCTTTATTTCAGCTGCATTCACGCGTGCACTTTTCTTTTCTCCTTTTTCCTAGACAGCAGTGAAGACCCGCTGTAGCGCCATGCATTTTATAGTAGCAGAAAACAACACCAAGTCTATTGAGTTCTACAAGAGAAGAGGTGCAGCGGATCTGTCCTCTGAGGAGGGGTGGCGTCTTTTTGCCATTGAAAAGAAAAATCTGCTGAAAATGTCTGCCAAATAGAGTTTGCCACTCTTAAACTTGTACTGATGTCTGGTGATAGCAGTGAACTTTGCTCTATGTGATCAGTGACTTGGAGCAGCCTCAATAAATGCATTTATCAATCAGCTGTTCCCTTCTGATCACAAACCATGTCTGGGACTTTTGAGGTCATTGCTAAATTTACACTGATCTCAGAAGTTTGATGAATGAACACTGAAACGTGATAATTACATAATAATCTACCACAGCTGGAAAGTTTGTGAGACTTGAACAAGCATGCTAATAAATACATTAATAAATATAGATTTTGTGTGTTTGGGATTTTCCATCACAACCTACATATCATCCTGTGCCTCTTTGCTATGTTGCCTTTCCCAAGCTGACTAATATTATAGTGCTTTTTTAAAATCATATGCACATTGTAATTCAATCAGACCTTAGAATTATAATACGGCATTAAGAGTTTCTGGGATCATTTTACTCATTAAATGCTGAAATGTCACAATATAAGAGAAAACAAAAGGCCCTCTTACATACTGAGTAATTTTAACAAAAGTGAAAGTGTAGAAGTGTGTATGCATAAAGATAAGTATGGAGAAGCTGTTACTATTACTGATTAACTGCAATAAAAACCCTATCAGTAGATAAACGGCAACATATTTAAAACTGATGGATGCATTTCAGATATTTTCTGTCTAATTTCTGGAAATTTTTAACTGCACTTTAGTTTTATTTTCTTTTTAGATCACTTTTAATGGAGTTCAAAAGAAGCGCAGTTAACACACTATTTGGGAGAACATAAACTACCCAGGTACAGTTGTGCTGCAGATGTGGGGAAAAACAGCTATACTTGTAGGCTTAACAAAACTGCAGAAGTGATAGGTTCATTCATAAAATAGGGCAGTCGTCGGTTTGTTTAAATGTTGAAGCAATGCTCTCTATCTTGAGGTCATAGTTTAATTGTCCTTTTATTGTGATGCACTCTGTTGTTTGGCGCGAACTGACGTAGTCCTCAGTCAAATTATTTGCTGATACACCGAGCCATGGAGCACAAACTAATTAGAGTTACCGCTGCAGCGCACGCTTTCACACGACCCGCGTTGTTCTTTAGATTATGGCCTGTTTGGTGCCTGTCGGGCTGATTTCCACCACAACCCTTCCGCATTTTCCTGCTGCTCTCGGGCTGTGACGTGTCGTGCTGACGGCGGCCTCGGAGCTGGAGGAGCGGGGGGCTGTAGCATGACAAGATCTGGCTCGAGACGTCCTGCTTTGCTTTCAGCGGTGCTCCTGAATCAACCCCTAACCCCTCCTTCTCTTCTCCTCTCCGGCCCGCCCAAATAACACAAAATTCCCGACTGAATCCTGCCCGAGTCTGGGGGAACCAGGCGGCCTGGGAAGCCGAGGAGCGGACAGAGGCATCCCTGCAGCACGAATCTGGTACGCGGCTCGTTTTTGTGCCAAAGGCGTCCGATTTCAGAGCTGTGTTTGCATTTGTACGTGCCCGTGGCCTTTTGTTTTTTACATGCATGTTGTATTTTAATTTATTTCTTTATTTTTTCTGAGAGGCCGCAAAGGGTTGGGCCTTTTCTTTTCTGGGCCGGGGCCTCAATAGAGGCCGTAATTGGCAAATCAGGCCTATCCCGTTAGCTAGCGAGCCACCCGGAAAAAAGGGATTGTATATTCGTCTGTCGTAGTTGACCATCGGCATTTGTTATCGATAGCTGACGGCTGATATGCAACGCACCATTCAGCCTCAGTTTCGTTTGACACCTTGTCGTCGCCGAGGAGTAGTTTAATAAACGTTAAAATTAGCATTCGTCCAGCAGTTAAGCTAACAAAATGGCGGACGCTTGTGTGATGGAAATTGGTTGTAGAAAAGGTATGTGTGTGTGTGGGTTCAGCCCTCCTCTCGCTAGCTGGCCGGTACAGAGCGACATAAGTGTGCACTTAACGAAAGCCTCGTTTCTTTGCATCTTTATCTTTTCGCATCTGTATGTGTGCGTGCAATCAGCCTTTTCTAAACGTCTGTTTGCACCGTGACAGTCGGGCTTTGCATGTGTAATCAGTGCTAATCTTCCTCCAGTGGTCAATTGAAGACATTGCCGTGAATCACCTCATCGGGATTTGTGTTGTGCTATAGATTTCTCGTAGTGTGTCCGATCGCCCGAGTTTTTAAAATTAATTATTTTTTTATGTGATGTCGGTGTCTTTTGAGCACAAGTGATGCGGGGTTGTGCCGCACATCTTCCTCACACCGTTGTCATATTTTTCCACCTGGAGGTGGGGGGATGGTACATTCAGTGGAAATTAAATGGCAACCCGGTTGCATCGTTTTCTGTTTACACCTCAGTGTTCCCTTGTGTTAGTTTCAGAGAGATATCTGTGTTGTTTTTCTTGTCCTACATTAGCTCAACTTTACCTCCATTTTTTGGGTGGGGAGGCGAAACGTGTCTTTGATTCTGTTAACTGTAGTGATGCGGGCATGACAATAATGGCACTGGTCATTTTAATTTCTGTCCGTTATCGCATACACGAGCTAACAGTGTAAAGCACATTTTATTTATTATTATTTTTTAATTTTGTGGTGTCCCTTTTAAAAATAGGTTAAAACCACAAAGCTGAAGTCGTGGGGTTTATGTGTGTGTGTGTGAGAATTAAAGGTCAAATAATTTGGATCTTCACAAAGAAACACTGCGTGAGCCAAGGCAAGGCTACAGCGCGATTTTAACCAGGGTTGTTCTTGATAAAGTTCGATTCAAAAGTTGGTTTATAGAGTACTGTGAGGTAACAATCAAGTCTTTGAAGCCTGATTTGGATGCTTGACGGCTTTTAATGCTCCAGGGCAGAGAAGAGCACAGTTTCTATGGGACAAAACGAGAACTGAGGTTAGTGAGTGTACACCATGTTTACAGTATCAAGCCCACAGATGTCCATACATGCCCCGTTTGCTGTAAAGTGAATCTTGAAAGGATAGGCATTAACTGTTATGGTGGTAGCAGGGAATTGTGCAGCAAAGGCCAGTGATGGAGGAGTGTGGGTGACTGTAGAAAAGCATGGACTCAACCAAAGTGGGGGGAAAAAAGATGACTTTTAAAAGTTGATTTAATATACTTTATGCTTCTCTGTTGAGGGCTTCTGAAGTGGAGCATATCATAAAAAGTTTGAGAATCACTTTGTTAAGGAACTGCTCAAGCTACAGTACTTGTACAATGCCAGGCCACTGGTCTGTATCATGTGATTCACGTTACAGTGATTCAACAAGTTATACTAAGTCTTTTTTTGAAAACACGCTGGATGCCAGGCACATTAGGGGCTTCATGGGGTAGTGTGGAAAAGAAATGACACCAGCATTGTTGGGCTAACATTTGGCGATGTTGGCCACGTTTGCATTAGCAGCTCGTGTGGTAACTCTGACAAATTGAAATGGATTTAAAGCAGATTTGGGACGTAAACATATGATTTTATTTTATTTTTTTTAAATCTTTTTTTAGTTCCAGTGGCTTGAGGCTGTCAAAGCAGCAGTGCTTTCATCACATATCGTGTGTGTGTGTGTGTGTGTGTGTGTGTGTGTGTGTGTGTGTGTGTGTGTGTGTGTCCTGAGTAACCTGGAGTGGCTGCTCTGAGTGTCATACAGAAAAGCATAACCGTACACCTGTAAAATATTGTATAAGAAGGGCAATGGTGTGTAACAGCATTACAATATATAAGTAACCTATTATCTGCATAATTTTCTGCCTGTGCTTACTTGATACTAAGCTGTCTATCATTTGGTTTCAGCTGTCCAGTAACAAATGCAGTGCGAGGACAATGGATGAGGATGTCACCAGGCTTGCAATACATTCTGAAGAGCCTAAAATAATATTGCACGGATCGGGTAATTAGCAATGCTTATACTTACAGAGTACGTCTTGCTGGTATGAGAAGTACAATAGTACTAGCAGGATTTCTTTCTTTTTTGTGGATAGCCAGATAACTTTAAATATTTGAGTGAAAGTGTTGTTTGGAAGGAGATGACATGACCATCCAGAGCAAAGTCATATTATGACTGTATGACCATTTAAATCATTATCACACAATAAACCCTTGCTCTTCACTGTTATCTGGTTAACCATGCAATCCTGCTTCTTCTAGATGAAGGTGGTGCCGGCGGGCAGGAGTTTGTTGTGGAGCTTCAAGAGACTGTGTTGGTGTCAGAAGGCGAAGGGGAAGGCATGGCAGTTCACAGGTTCGCCCCAGACGAGCTTGTGATCCAGGATGCTGTTGAGGATGTGGTTTCTGAGTACGTGCACTGCGATGAAGATGAAGATGTTGCTGTAGAAACCTGTGTGATGGCTCTGGACGGTGAGGAGGAAGGTGTTGCCATGGGAGACATCCCTGAAGATGGGCTGGACCCAGAGCAGCAGGAGGACGATGACCAAGATGGCTGTGGAGATTATCTAATGATATCCTGTAAGTTTACTAGACTGTGCTGCATTTACACTTAGCATACATGTCTTTGGTTTGTTGTATTATTATTATTATTATTATTATTATTATTATCATCTGTATAATATCTGTCGCTTGGAGAGATGGAAAATTTATATGCATTTGCGGTGCATTTAAAAGGAAACATCCATGTAAATGACAGGACGAAAGGTTTAAATCTACAGTGTAGGCTAACATGCACCTTCCCACCTGCAGAAACGTAGACCTCAACAACTAATGTAAACACAGTTTATAGATTAGCACAGTGATAGTACCCCTGTGAAATTAAATCAATGGTTTTAACCATATGTAGCTTGCTCATTGTGCTGTGGCAGCCCAACTGCCATGGTGGTGGCAGATGGCTGCCCCTCCCTCAGCCTGGTTCTGTTAAAGGTTTCTACCTGTTGAAAGGGAGTTTTTCCCTCCCACTGTCACTCAGTGGTTGCTCATAGGGGATCGTATGATTGTTCAGCTTTTCTTATAAATAAAACTGAATTGAATGTAAATAAGCAAATCTTTCTCATTTTCAATGTGTTTTTGAATGTGTCAAGTTTTCCTTGTTATTATATATTGTACAAGTTGAAGCACTTATGTGTTTGGCTTAGTTTGCCTTAGTTACTTTGCACATCCAGCTACATAACTACTGCATGTGCACACCCCTGCTGGGGAAAAAATATCACACTTATAGCCACATAATGAGCTGAGGTGGTCAGTTTGTGTTTTTGTTTTTCCCAGGCTTATTTAAAATTACAAAATTGTGGACAGACACACTGTACAACTTCTTTCTCTTGCATAGTAGTAGCTTGCATTGAAACAAAACAAAAGATCAGTTTTTTTTGTTTTTTGTTTTTTTTTGGGGGGGGGGACTCATTTACTCTAATTTCCCTGAGTACCCGGAGATTTTCTTCATAAATGCTATGAAGATGTTAGTTTGAAAAGGTGGAATTGAAGGGTTTTTTGTTGCTGTTGTTTTTTTTGTTTTTTATAAGCGATCATACTAAATCATGATAAGTTTTGATCTTTAGATTTAATATTTAGATAAGCTTCTTAAACGATTGAGTACCTTATTTGCACTCATTTCATGTAAATATTTCCAGTATGTCATAATTAAACTGCTACAAAGTCTCTGCTGGTGACTCTGTTTAATCAAGTCTGATGTGTGTCCCTTTGCTAGTGGATGAAGCTGGTAAAATGGTGTCTGAGGATGGAACAGAGGTGACAGTGGAAGGAGCTGTGGAGGACCAGGAAGTGGAGAAAGATGAGGATGGACAAGAGGTGATAAAGGTCTACATCTTCAAGGCTGATTCTGGGGAAGATGACATGGGTGAGTGGCAGTTAGCTTTCTGTTAATAAAAGAATCATGATAATAAATAATAATGGCTGAATCCTGCAGAAAGCCTTTCTATTTGGGTCTATTTTTCAGAAAGTAGAGAACTGAACTTAAGTTTCATTGTGCAGGAGAATCTGTTGACATCAGTGACGGGGACACAGAGAACGTAGCGTTAACAGAGTCTTCGGGCCATACGCTCAGAGAGAAGATGGTTTACATGTCTGTCGGGGATTCTCATCACAATCAAGGAAACCACGGTGAGTCATCTGGATGCAAGGAGCGGGGACAGCTGTCATGAAACTGAACGTCACCAGTTTTTTGGTTTTGTACCTGTTGGGCTCATCTACAGGTGGGTCCAAGGTGACTGATGAGGTTTATATGGAGGTGGTGGTAGGAGGCGAAGAGCCAGTAACTCACGACCGCTCGTATGACAGCGTGTCTCTAAGCAAGGACTTCATGCCTGTGGCCTGGGCAGCTGCTTATGGTCAGCACCCTTGTCTATTAAATTGCTTTAAAAACCACACTGGAAGCCTGTGCATCAACCACGTCTCTTGGTGTCCTGGTTAAGCTTTACACGCACCGGTTTTGTTTGTTTATATGCCAAAGACGTGCCGTTTTTCTCACAGGTGCAGAAGATAGTGAGAGTTGTGAGAACCGGAACGGTGCAGCCAGCGCGCTGCTGCATATCGACGAATCGGACGGGGTGGACGAAATCAACAGACAGCGCAACAAGACCAAGAGGCGGTCAGAGCCTCGACAAGTCCAGACAGGTGAGAACGGCACAAATCAGACACAGACTTCTCAGGCTTGTTTGGATAAAAATGAGGATTTGTCTAGTCTTTTTAGGACTGAATAGCAGAAGAGATGATGAAAGCAGCGGCTCTATCAGTAACAATTAATTTTGAGATATATTATAATAGTGAGGTTTTTTTTTACACCAGTGCCCTTTTTTTTTTTTTTTTTTTTTTTCTTAAGTAAATTAAGAGTGTGGTATAACTAAGCGTAGTTGTCATTTTCACATTGTTGGCTGTGCATATTTCTACAGTTTGTACAGCACCATCCAAACCAGTTCAGTGTGTTAGAACAGCGGTCCCCAACCCCCGGGCCTCGGACCGGTAACAGTCCGTGAGTCGTTTGGTACTGGGCCGCGAGAGTTGAGGCTCAGGTGTGAAATGTATAGTTTTCAGGGTTTTTATCGGTTTTCAGCGTCATTTTGTTATCGTTTACTCGGTTTTCCTGGGTCATTTCACGTGTGTTATGAATAAATCTTCTTTTTTTCGGTACTGGTACTAGTTTTATTTTGTTGTATTTATCCGCGACACCTTAAAGGCCGGTCCGTGGCGCAAAAAAGGTTGGAGACCGCTGTGTTAGAAGCAACAATTTCTGCTGATCTTGTTTAATAGTTGTTGACGAGCAGCTTCATTGTGCATTACCGCCCACTCCTGGCAGTTGTAACACATTACATCCTAAAAGGCAATTATGAGAAAAACTGAGAAAATATGCAATTTGTATAAAAAAATAACTGCATTATTTATTTATTCTAAAATCATGCCTGTTTGTATTTGGCATTAGCACTCAATATAATACATAATATGATTTTTATTTTTTATAGTGGTTAGCACAGTTTAAAAGGGCTCATTGTTTATGACTTTCCTGCTAGCGACAGTTAACTAGTTTATCCGGTTTATTGTACCGATGGGCTGTTTTGATGACACCTCTTTATTTAAATACGATTGTCTCTGAGCAGTAAAAGCTGGTTGACATTGAATTCAGATTTTATTTGTACACTAAGCTTGATTAAAAGCACACAATTACTGTGTGCTGCTGCACAGTACATGTTCTACTTTTGTTGCTTTAATTTTCAGTTCAGTTCATATTCAATATTGTACAGCGAAACATTTAATTTATATATATAATTTCACCAGTATTGAAATACTGAAGATAAACACTGTTCTTCAAAAAAAACAAAAAAAAAGCTTCTGTTTATGAAGGAAATGACCAGCGATGTGGTCATTTCCTTCTCCCTTTTATTTATTTATTTTTTCTCAAATTGAATTTTAATTTTTTCTCTTTCTCTCCAGCCATTATCATCGGTCCATATGGTCAGCCCCTCACCGTTTACCCCTGCATGCTCTGTGGTAAGAAGTTCAAATCACGAGGCTTCTTGAAACGCCACACCAAGAATCACCACCAGGATGTTTTGACCAGGAAAAAGTACCAATGCACAGACTGTGATTTTACCACCAACAAGAAAGCCAGCCTCCACAATCACATGGAGGTGCATGCTCTGAGCAGCAAGGCCCCTTTCGAGTGTGAAATGTGTGGCAAGGAGTTCCACCAGCAGGCGGCACTATTTTCTCACAGACTGCAGCACCACCACCGGGAGCCCAAGAGCCAGCCACCTCCACCTCCCACCAAGATGCATAAATGCAAGTTTTGTGACTATGAAACTGCCGAGCAAGGGCTGCTCAATCGACACTTATTGGCAGTTCACAGCAAAAGCTTCCCCCACATCTGTGTGGAATGTGGCAAAGGCTTTCGACATCCTTCGGAGTTAAAGAAACACATGCGCACTCACACCGGCGAGAAGCCTTACTCCTGCCTGTACTGCGACTATAAGTCAGCCGATTCCTCTAATCTCAAAACGCACATCAAGACTAAGCATAGCAAAGAGATGCCATACAAATGTGAGCGCTGTTTCCAGACGTTTGCAGAGGAGGAGGAGTTAATGCAGCATGGATTAACGCACGAGGAGAATAAGACCCACCATTGTGCCCACTGTGATCACAAAAGTTCCAACTCCAGTGACCTGAAGCGTCACATCATATCTGTTCATACCAAGGACTATCCCCACAAATGCGCCGTTTGTGGGAAAGGCTTCCACCGGCCGTCTGAACTGAAGAAGCACTCGGTATCCCACCGTACTAAGAAAGTCCATCAGTGCCGGCACTGCAACTTTAAAATCGCAGACCCCTTTGTTCTCAGTCGCCACATCTTGTCAGTCCACACAAAGGAGCAACAGGCCTCACCTGAAAAGAGTGAGACCAAGAGGACAGAAACGCACACTCCTGCTGTGACGCCGAAAAAGTCCGGGCCCAGCGGGTCGAGCAGCTCTGGTCCGCCGGCAAGAGTTAGCGCGGCCAGCTTAGCCAGCAGCGTGACTGTAGTTATTGGCAAAGGACAAAAAGAAAGGCGGATTTACCAGTGCCAGTACTGCGACTACAGTACCGGCGACGCGTCGGGTTTCAAGCGCCACGTGATTTCCATTCACACAAAGGACTACCCGCACCGCTGCGAGATCTGTTCGAAGGGCTTCCGACGACCCTCGGAGAAGAACCAGCATATCATGCGTCACCACAAAGATGTGGTGCAGGCAGAGTGACTCTGACTGAGCCAAATACTGTGCCACAGCAAAGAACAATGTTGAAGCATCCGTCAGACCCCGACCACCGCGCCCTCGGCACGTCGCCATTCACATTGAAGTAGTGCGGAGTGTGTGTGCTGCACTCGGTCCATTCTGTTGTTTTGCTCTTTTTAAATCCTCGGCCTACTGTTTGTTCAGATATGTATACACGTGTAGATAACATTAATGCTCTGTCAGAGTTAGCAAACCAAGCCCCTCTGTAGACTCGCACTTTTAACTGCATGTCCCTTGGTGGTGACAGTGTGCATGGCAGATTGTGCAGATGTCTCTTTGTAGATACACTTTTTTTTTTTTTTTTTTTAACTTTTGCAAATAGCAATCAGTTCTCAATCAGAATGGTCCTAATTATTTGTCTTAAAAACAGATGTGTAATTTTAAAAATGTTTGCATAATTTTCTTAAAATGTATTTAACAGCAGTTTGGATTAACAACCTGTTTCCAGTAGCACTTGGTAAAAAAGCGCGTGCGCGTGTGTGTGTGTGTGTGTGCGCGTGTGTGAGTGGGAGAGAGAGAAAGAAACAGAGGGAGCTTGAGGGACAAAAAAAGCAGCGCAGCCGTTGTGCTTCCTTTGCTCTGACCCGACCACTTTGTAACATAATGCTTCCTGGTGCGTTGACTAAACTCACAAATACAGGCAGAGGGGGAGTCACTCTAAGCTTCGTCGGCAGGGGGTTTATGCTCATTGATTTGCTACAAAAACACAGTGAGAAACTGGATGCATCATGTTGGTGAATAAGGTTTCACACGTGCACACAAATCCGAACCCTGTCACTTGCCCTCAATGCTTGGTTATCAAATGTCCAATATTTCTGTTACAAGTCCAAAAGCGTACTGTACGTTGTTCAGAACAAGTGCCCAAAGCTGTAGAGATGACACCCTCACTAACAGTATTATTTTTATTTTTTTATTTTTTTTTTTAAAATTAACGCATTAATGCTTTCTCGGAAGTGAAATCCTTTTAATTTGACATGACTTTTTCTTTTCTTTCTTTTTTTTTTTTTTAAATATGTGAAGAGAGGAAAATGTTTCCTCCTCAATTTCTTTTGAAAACTGATGAACTGTTCATAAAAAAAATTTTTTTGTAACGATTGACATATCTTTTAAATCACTGAAAAAGGGTAATCTGCAAGTATCAGTATGCTACCAATGTTAGACTGGGTTATAAAAAATATGCCAGATCAGTGTCCTAATATAAGTGTCTGGTCTAAATGAGAGTTGAATAGTATATCTGGTGCTGCTGTTATAAAACTAAGGACTGAACTCTGATTTCTCCTACACAGATGTACTTTTGCCTGTAGAAAGGGAAACATGTATATCTTTTTAGATGCAACTTCAGAAGACAGGTGCTGGTGGTGTACATGTACTTTTGGCTTTTTACATTTTTTTTTTTTTCAATTTTTTTGTTATCACCTGTGATTATCTGTTTTATATTTATTTCATTTACAAGTTGTTGTATAGTTAAGTGTAACTAGACTTCTATGGGACGTAAATTATTGTTTTGTATACAGATCTGTACAAAGCGTGTAGATGTAAACACTTGATTAAAAAGGAGATCTCAACTGTGTTGTTGTGGATGTACTTCAGCGTATTTGTTAAAAAAGATAATAAAGCAAAGTATTTTAGCTGTTTGGGAGTTTTTGTTTGCCAGCAAATAGTTGGATTCAATTCAGTTTTATTTATATGGAGTCAAATGATAACAACAGTTGTCTCAAGGTGAAAGGCCCTAGAATAGCCCCAGGTTTGGCCAGGTGATGCTCAAATGGAAGGAGTAATAAGGGGATCATTTATTTATTTATTTTTATAAAATCTGAATGTTTTGGAAGCATGATAATATTTTCACCCAGTCTCCAAGTAGAACTGCCTGAACTTGCAGTGAATACAACTTTACCGAACACAAGTGTAGAATGAGACATTTTGCCTTTTCATGCAATCTGTTAACAACAAAGCTTTGGCTGCCCTGTTGTTGATGGTGTAAGTCAGGTAGTGGTCATCATACTTCACATCAGCCATGCACAAGTCAGAGTGTCCACAGACTTTCAATAATAAAGCCAAGTAGATGATGTAAAAATAGGAATGGTTAAATAGTGCATTCATAATCAGTTGTATGTGTCAACTATGTGGGCACCTCAGTCTTGTTGGGATGAAGGAAAGTTGTGTAACATGTACCATAAGGGCTTCAAAGACATCGTTTAAACAGTAGTCGTCTTATTAGTTATTACGCATCTCCTTTTAAATATTTACAGTGGCTTGCAAAAGTATTCGGCCCCCTTGAACTTTTCCACATTTTGTCACATTACAGCCACAAACATGAATCAATTTTATTGGAGTTCCACGTGAAAGACCAACACAAAGTGGTGTACACGTGAGAAGTGGAGCGAAAATCATACATGAGTCCAAACATTTTTTTACAAATAACTGCAATGTGGGGTGTGCGTAATTATTCAGCCCCCTGAGTCAATACTTTGTAGAACCACCTTTTGCTGCAATTACAGCTGCCAGTCTTTTAGGGTCTGTCTCTACCAGCTTTGCACATCTAGAGACTGAAATCTTTGCCCATTCTTCTTTGCAAAACAGCTCCAGCTCAGTCAGATTAGATGGACAGTGTTTGTGAACAGCAGTTTTCAGATCTTGCCACAGATTGGATTTAGACCTGGACTTTGACTGGGCCATTCTAACACATGGATATGTTTTGTTTTAAGCCATTCCATTGTTGCCCTGGCTTTATGTTTAGGGTCGTTGTCCTGCTGGAAGGTGAACCTCCGCCTCAGTCTCAAGTCTTTTGCAGACTCCAAGAGGTTTTCTTCTAAGATTGCCCTGTACTTGGCTCCATCCATCTTCCCATCCACTCTGACCAGCTTCCCTGTCCCTGCTGAAGAGAAGCACCCCCAGAGCATGATGCTGCCACCACCACAGTGGGGATGGTGTGTTCAGAGTGATGTGCAGTGTTAGTTTTCCACCGCACATAGCGTTTTGCATTTTGGCCAAAAAGTTCCATTTTGGTCTCATCTGACCAGAGCAGCTTCTTCCACATGTTTGCTGGGTCCCCCACATGGCTTGTGGCAAACTGCAAACGGGACTTCTTATGGTTTTCTGTTAACAATGGCTTTCTTCTTGCCACTCTTCCATAAAGGCCAACTTTGTGCACTGCACGACTAATAGTTGTCCTATGGACAGATTCCCCCACCTGAGCTGTAGATCTCTGCAGTTCGTCCAGAGTCACCATGGGCCTCTTGGCTGCATTTCATTAATATTTTTCAACACACAGATGGTTGAATCTGTCTTCAGTTTACCAGGAGTTGGAACAATTGCACAAGTGCTGCTTATTACTTGCAAATGTGCCACAATTTCAATGGAAATAAAAAGGCTTTCCAGTGGTGTAAGGTTTATTGCCACAGAGCATTGTTACAAAAAAGAAAGTTTCAACCAAAAGCTAATTTTCTACTTTTTTACATAACACTGTTCTCTTCAGGACTTTCAGATATGAAAAGTATATTTATGTGGATTCACGTCTGTTTGCACCATTTAGTTATGAGCTGTTGCATCTGTGGATGCCAAAGAGAATCCTCACCCCACTTTGCAGTTATTTATTTGTAAAAAATGTTTGGAATCATGTATGATTTTAATTCCACTTCTCACGTGTACATCACTTTGTTTTGGTCTTTCATGTGGAACTCCAATAAAAATGATTCATGTTTGTGGCTGTAATGTGACAAAATGTGGAAAAGTTCAAGGGGGCCGAATACTTTTGCAAGCCACTGCAAATATGTTTCTTTCTTCACCCATATCACTGGAAAAATGCTTACCTGTTGACAGCGTAGCCAGCCCACAATACAGCGTGTTATTCGGCTTATTTTACCCCGCTGTGCTTAGTTGGGAGCACCATTTTTTCCTGAAACTAAAAAGAAAATTACTAAGCTGCTCAGATATGTGTAGAAGGGCTTTCTAAACACTAAAATAATAAATCTGAGGCCAGATCTTTAAAATATTTTTGTTATGTGGTTCAAATGCAGATTTTTCTGAGTTTAAGAAGGACTTCTTTTACTATGACAGCATGACTTTTTACTTCTTTCTTTTTCAGATGTTCTATTAACAGGAATAGTGAAGTGCACTGAACATACCACTGGATAGCATCAGAGGAGTTTTCAGCACTCATATTTTAAGCTTAGTCAAGACCAGATATTTAAGGAGCGGCTATGGCAGCAGTTTGTTGCCTGATTATTGTCTCCTCTACAGCATTAACTCATGCACGCATCCCTGCAGTATTTATAAGTTTGCAAGTCTGACACAGAAAGCAAATAATTTATTTTGTCCTGAGTGAATGCCCCTTAAAACTCACCTATTTCAGACTTGCAATTTATATAGCAAATCTGCAACTTGATAGTGTTAAATAAAATGATTTTCTTTTAAACTTGAAGCTTTGAAAATCGTTCCTTTTTCCATTAGGACAGAAATTAATATGACAAAGACTCTTTTCAAATTTGTTTAGGCGAATAGAAAATATTTTTAAAGATGTATATGGAAAACATGTTGATGCAGAAACATTTATTGAAGCTTCTGAGCTATTTGTGTAATTTTCTCCTAAAGATCTTGGGTAGATTTGGCCTTTAGATTGGGAATTTAACATCTCGTACAAAATTAAAGTTTTTAATTTAAGTTTGGTAGAATTCTATTTCAAAGAAAAACAAGATTCTCTGCTAAGTTAATGACATCACACTCAATTTGCTCTATCAGATCAAAGGAAACAGACCAAAGGAGCACGTGACATCATCTCAAAAGTCCTTAAATAGGACCGCAGCGTGCTCTCAGTATGTCTCAGAACTGTGCGACTCTTTAGGAACACACCACGAGCCAACCTTTAGGAAAACGATTTGAAACGTTCAGTGTATGCAACGAACACAAGTCCAAACCCTGATCAAGTAGAAAAAAATCTTCATTGTACATTGTAAGAGCAAAGACAAGAAGAATGCAGAGTATGCAGCAAAACCTTGATCCCCAGGAAGGAACCTCATCGGCCGCTGTTCGCCCTAACACAAAAGCGAAGCAGCCAAACCCAAAGCAAAGAGGGAAAAACCGGGCACCAAATGAGGTGACTTCATCTGCCAAACCAAAGGGTGAAAATAAGAATAAAAAGCAAAGAAATGCAAACCCAAACCCCAGAGCCAGAAACCCTGGACCCAATCGAGGGCATGGGCCACATCAGCCCAATCCCCACTTTAACCCCAATAATGGGCCTGGGCAGCATTGGTACAAGCCACCGTTTTTACCAAACCGAGGGCCTGTGCATCATCAGCCTGACTTTAGAACCAATGATGGACCATCTCAACCACAGCCTAATCCTCACTTAATGCCAAATGATGGCAAATGTCCATATAGTGAGACCGATGAAATGGCTGCACTGAGATTTCACCTGCAGGAGGCTCAGCACATGAGTAAAACCAATCTCTACAATATGACAGCAGCGAACCACAAAGCCTCTGCGGCTAAAACCCAAAATGATTGGCTTCGCCTAAAGCTACAGTGCTGCAGAGGAAATGCTGAGAAAACCATTCTTGAGCTCCAAAAACAACTGGAACAGGCTCGCAGAAGCAGACCCGAGGAGAATCTCACCCCTGATGTGCGTGAGGCTCCTGTTCAAGACAGCAACACAGCTGTCACAGCTGCAGAGCTGAGTGTGGACGCTTCAACACAAACTACAGAAGCTCCACACACAGACTCTACAGAGGTGAAAACTGTTCGGGAAGCTGAGTTGGAGGTCCAATGTAAAAAACAGCAGGAAGAGATCCAACAACTCCGCGAGCAGCTCCTCAAAACACAGAAAAACCTAGAGGAGGAAGTTGCAAAACGTAAAGAACAGGAAGAAAGAGCCCCCTGTGAGTTCGCTGAGCTCATAGTCAAACTCTGCCTCAGTGAGGCTGTTTGTGAGGCAAATAATTTGGAGGTCCAAAACGTAAAAGAAGAGCTGGAAAAAACCAGAGCTTTCTACCTGGAGATTGTAGAGAGGAAAAACCAGGAGAACACAACAATCCGCAAACAACTCAAGCAAACAGAAGATGAAAAGATCATTCTTCAGGAGTCGTTGCGGTCTCTGCAAGAGACAAGAAAGAAGGAAGAGACCGAGTCCAACGTTGGCAATCAGGATCATTCTCCAGCCAAAAAAGAGACCATAGATCAAAAAGAGACCAGCGTTACTGAAGCAGAAAATTCTCCAGCCCAAGTCGAGACACTCCAGGAGAATAAGCAAGAAAAAGAGGAGGCCAGTACTACCAAACCAGAAAATCCAGAGGCCCGAGATGACAACATGCAGAGAGAAAAGCCAAAAAAGAAAAAGAAGCGCAACTGGTTTCTGAGACTGTTCACTTAAGTGACTTCAGCTCTGTCTCCTATAAAATCAAAGTTATATACAACTAAATATTAACAGTTACTTCAACTCCCTAAACATCAATTTTAAAGCATATTTGCTTTAATATTTAGCTGTGTATACATTTGTCATCGGCTCCACCCCTCCCAACCGGTCGCGGCAGATGGCCGCCCCTCCCTGAGCCTGGTTCTGCCGGAGGTTTCTACCTTTTTAAAGGTAGTTTTTCCTCCCCACTGTCGCCAAGTGCTTGCTCATAGGGGATTG